ATCGGTGGGGTGGATTTAAACCCACACATGGCAGCTATCGAGGGGAGAACCACACGGCTTTGGCCAGAGCTGCATCCCTGTGAGGAAGAATCACCATGCAGCTTTACCAGAGAAGCGCCACTCAGCTTTGACAGAGTGGCGACCCTTCCGCCCTGCAGCTTTGCCAAGGAAAACCATGCGACTTTGGCAGAGTGGAGACCTCCCTGCAGCCTGGGTAAAGAGAGGACCACGCGGCTGCCTTGAGCCTGAATCATGGACTACTTCTTTTCCTGAGATACGGTACCCCAGATAGGGGCAGAGGGAGAAGGAAGAACTGTGTGTGTGTGTGTGTGTTTGTGTGTCAGTGGGTATCCTAAAGGACTAAGTCTGTATAGCTTTAAATAAATATCTCCTTTTCTTTTCACAAATCTGTGGCGTTGAGAGATGTCTTTTGTCTGGTGGACAATGCGAACCTAGTGGGGGGTGCTTTTGGTAATAGTATATTATAACCCCCCTTGGTCCTGTTCTGTAACACTCTCACAAGCAAGGACGCAGGTGCCTTACGGTTCCCTCTGCCCTGTGTGCGCTGTCAGCACAAGGAAAGGCAGGCCCAGCTCCTCTGCCCCCTTTGGTGAGCTTCCACGAAGCCCAGCATGTGCCTCAAGAACGTGATACTGTCCTCTGTTCAGAGGTCAGGGGTCAGAGAGATGAGGACCTCCTCACTGGCTTCTCAGTGACACAGCACATGGACTCCCTGGCTCCTTCACAGAGTCTCCTGAGGCGAGAGTGAGGCTGTTGTTGGCCACATCTTTAGTGTTGAGACTTCTCTCGGTCTAGCACTAATTGTGTCCTGGCCAAGAAAACAGGTTCTTGGGTTCCTGTCTCTGACAGGAACGCCCAAGAGATTCTTGGGCGAATCTCCGACCCTCTCAGCCTCAGGTCCTCCTCCTCTGTGGCCTGGGGTGCTGATGCCCATCGGTGCACGGGAAGGTGGCCCTGGGCCTGGGCTTCCTGCCCCAGTCCTACCACATTCTCCAGGTAGAAGGCTTGCCTTCCTTGTAGTCTTCATCCACAAAGACAACTATGTATTATCTTTGCTCTTCAGTGGAAGTATGTGCAGTCTTACTGGTGCTTATTAGTAAGTGTTCTGTCTCCTCACCTGTATACTCTTCTGGTGTCTGAACTGTATGGGTAGCTCCTTAAATATCTAGATCTGAGGCTGCTACCTTCTTAGAATTGATGCTCATGCACAACACTCAATGATGTTAGTATTCTTGAAAGAGTATTGGCCATGGTGTCAGTGGACTTCGAGAGCTGCTGCCAGAACATGCTTGTATGTTCATCCATGAAATGTGAGTTGGACAGATGGTCTCTGTGGCCCTGCCAACCCTGATATTTTTGTATTTATTACGTCTGAGTCCCATTTCGTACCTGCTTTTGCGATGATGATGAATGCAAATGAATGCTGATGGATGCAGCAGATCCTTTTTAAGCTCATCCCAATCTCAGGCATTTGTAATGAGCCCAGCCATATTGCTGTGGGGGACTGCGAATAGGAGCTGGGAGCATGTGATGTGTCCAGGGGGGTGGTCCTGCCCTGCTGTTGTGTTGAGAAGTTCCAGAGCGCATTGGTGATGTACTTGAGTCAGATTAATATAGAAGTTAAATTTATTTGTCTTGTGGTAGAATCAAGTGGTTTTGCTCTACCCTGACATCTTAATTTTGTGTTCACTAGTACATTCTTCCATCTTCTCCTCTTCTACATTGTCGTGTGTGTGTGTGTGTGTGTGTGTGTGTGTGTGTGTGGCCAGGTGCTGTCTGTAGCCAGCTCAGATCACACGATAAAAACTAATGAGGCCAGACAGTAGATTCTTGGTGAGGTGGTATGCTAGCAGTCATCTGAGAAATAACGAAAAGGGTCAAGAGGAAGCTGTGAATTCTTCCCACTTCCAAGGGATGAGCAGTGTTAGTTCCAGACACTTTGCAGTATTAATAGGATCATGATGTCCCAGGGAACATGTAGAAGCCAGGTGCTCTTCTTAGTGCCTTTGATACAGCAGTTCAGTTAAGCCTTACCATGCGGTGTGGACTAGGGACAGCTTTATCTCCATTTACAGATCAGGAAAGGGAGGCAGAGTGGCTAGGTAACTGGGTGCGGTCACATGCAAGTGAATGGCATGTTGTCAGTGTGACAGCCATGTTGGGGTGTATGGTCTCCTGTCTCCTTGGGCACATTTCTGACCCTGTCAACCTCTGGTCTTTCTCCTCTGTGGTCCAGCTGTGTTTCTGCTTAGCGTAGTGATTTCAGGTATTTGTGACATGGTAGCATCTGGTATACCTTTCATATGTACGTTTATTAGTAATTTTAATACAGCTTGTATTGTTACACCTTTTATTGAAGTAGTAACACAAAGAAATGAACAAATCGTAAGAATAGAAAATGCTTAAATCAGGGTACCACCGAATGAGCACACCCCAGCCGAGGAAAGGTGCATCAGCAGCCACAGGGGCTCCTGTTGGCCCCTCCCTGCCACCCAGTTGTAAGCACTCTGACTTCCTGTTTCTGAGCTTTTCATATACTTATTTTTTAAACGAATTAAAATTGGGGGAGGCTTTTGATTTTCTTTAGGGTATTATGAATTGATAGAGTGGGTTTCTGAGTTTACTTCCCAAATATTAGTTTTAGTAGAGGTTCTGATGTGAAGAACCAACTTCCCAAGCAGAATGACCTCTGGTGCACATCACAGTCAGGAACCATGCAGGGGGAGAGGCTGGCAGGCCAGCAGTGAGTGAAACCTGCCGCAGTGTGGAGTTTGTGGCTGCGGCAGCAGACGGAGGCCCTGGTCAGAGGGAAAGGGCCTGTTGCGCAAGGCACAGCAGGCTTCATGGGGGCTGCTGTTCCTCACCCAAGGTTCGTAAGGCCCGGTGCATGCTGCACACAGTGTGGGTTTTTGTCACAGCAAGTGCCCTCTAATTTTATAAGGGGGCTGCTAACAAACCTGCCTAACTCTTGTCTCCAAGAGGACAGTACCCTGTTATCCAGGTCGACCAGAAGGGAGACATCACCTACAGCTACGAGAAAGACAGTTACGGTCTGGGACAGACACTGATAGCGGATGTGGGGAAGTGCCTCCCGATAACACCCACCGCTTGTTTCGTTATCACCTTGGCCTTGGTGAACGTCCCCATTTCACTCCATCAGCCCCTCTGATGGATTTGACTGGGGCTAGATCTGCACAATTTGTCTGATAGTGGAACGGCTGCCATCAGCAGGACTCCAAACAGCAGGAGCCCAGCCTGTGGCACTGACCTCAGCCGGGCCGAGGGTCCCTGCAAGACAAATGCTATATACCAGAGGTGTCAAACTAATTTTTACTGGGGTCACATCAGCCTCATGGTTACCTTGAAAGGGCCTGGTGTAACTACTCCTTAACAGTTAAGTGAGAGCTCAGTGCTGCCACAGGGTAGAAACAAGGTGCCAGGCCGGATAAAACAAGGTGGAGGGCCGGATTTGGCCCACGGGCCTTGTGTTTGCCACCTGTGCTATCAACCATCAGTGTTTGTTCCATTCATTCAGTCACAAAGTGTCCCCCACGTTAGAATTATGAACAAAATACTTGTCCTCTGAGAGCATACAGGCAAATTAGCAAGTGGTTATCCCACCACATGTAGGTGCAGTGAATGTGCCTGGTCTGCATAACCTCACAGTGGGCGGGCGGGCAGGTGGCGTGGAGAGGTGAGAACCGGGTGGCCAGGCTCTCCCTTTCTGGAGAGGCTGCAGTGGCAGCGTTCGGTGCTCTGGGTGACAAATGCCAAAGGCAGGAGACAGCCCTACAGGCTTTGGGCTTTTGTTTGTGTTAATCCCTTTTGCATTTGATGATACGTTGTCTTTTCCCAAATCACTGTTTCTGTGTAGTTAGGAATCAGTTTGATGCAAGTTCTCTAGTTGCAGGGTCCACCTTTTTTTCAGGCCTTGTGCTACTTGATATGGAGCCTGCACAGCAATTGCATGAGGAGTCCAGGTCTTTGGAGGGTGGCTTGGGGAGGAAATTCATTGCTTCCCCCTGGGTTCTAAGCTACAGAGTCCTAGGACTCTGTCAGAGTCATTTGTCTTGTCCCTGCAGCCTGTGTGGTGGCGTGGTGGCAGAAACCTGCTGACCAAATGCAAAGAATCTGTGTGGCTACTAGCCAGACTGTGAAAGCCTACACTTTTCATTATTTTAAGAGATAGTGTTAGTCATTCTAATTTTTGTAAATGAAGCTTCATCATGGTCAAAGAGTATGTGTGAGAGAGCATGAGAGAAGTAGAGGATGTGTGGTTTTGCAGGGGACGGCTGCTTGGAAGAGCCTGGCCAGGCCTGCCTGTGAGCCCCGTTGGCGTTGTGGCTGAGCGGTTTGACTGTGCATGAGGTCCTCCTCCTGCTGCAGCCATGCAGTCGTCATCTGTCCGGGAGGTGGGGCTGCCTGCTCTGTAAGGGTTATATAAACTCTGATGGAGTTTATATAACTCCATCATTGAGTGGAACTCGATAAGTTTGTAGGACTATTTTTTCTGTGAAATTACGTGTATAAACATTTCAGAAGGAGACTCTTTGTCCATTTGGAGACTTGTGAAGAATATATAGGGATCGGGCCATCACAGCTGAAATGGTGTTCATGTGAAGGGTCCTATGGTGGTGGCTTTCCGCAGTTTTCTTCCTTCAGTCATGTCCAGCTGTAGACCCTGGTCCCAGAAAAGGTGCTCTGGCAGGCATGGAGCCCAGGGCCTTGTGGCTTTGGGAAGAGCTTGAGTCTAAGATGTGGCCATCCTCTGTCTGCTAAGTAGGACAAAGACTTTGTCCTCCCTGTCCCATATGGGGTGAGCACTCTTGCCAGGTGGGGACCTGCCTTGTGTCGGTGTCTTGGGTCTGCTCTGAACCAAGACCTTGACACCCTCACTGGCCGTGTCCTAGTGTCTCTGGGCCAAGTGTGACGACACATTTCAGCCTCACACAGCTGCTGATTTGTCCCTTCTCTTTCAGAGTGGAGTGGCCTTGGCCGTGGTGCAGGCTGAGCCCAGAACCAGATGAACAGAGACATCTACGTCCACACCTGGCCATGCTCCTACTATTTAGAACTTGAGAAGCGATGGGTTCCTGGAAAACTCTTGTTAACTTCATGCTCAGTAAGATTTATGACTGATAAAACTGGAGGCTTCCTTGTCGACTTTCCCCTTGCCAACATAGTTGAGATCAAGAAAGAGGCTTCTCATTTTATCTTTGGTGCTGTCACCATCCTGGAAAAGGACCATGTCAAGCACTGGTTCGGCTCCTTGCAGCCTAGTCGGAATGTTGTTTTCCATGTCATTGAGCATTTCTGGAGAGAGGTGCTGCTGTCTCAGCCAGGAGCTGCTGGGGGGGCATCCTCCTCCCCTGTGACCAAGGGGAAGCAGTTGACTGGTCTCATGGCCTGTTCCCAGAAGCGTCTGGAAGATGCAGCCAGGGTCCTACACTTCCAAGGTGAGCAGCTGGACAGCATAGCGAGCGGCCTGGACAGAATGGCTTCTGATCTGGACGTGGCTGACAGGTGAGGCAAGTGCTGCAGTCCTGTGCTGCTCTTGGTAGTGGGGGGTCTTCCCTACCCTGTGTGAACGTGGCTCACACCTGCTGTGGGCAGGTGTGCTGGGCTGGCTGCGCTGGGTGTGCAGGGGGAAAGGACCAGCGTTGACTACAAGCACAGCATTGCCAGGTCCGTGTGAGTTCAGTGAGGGTCCCCTCTTTAATCCCTAGACTAGCCAGGAACAAGTTGTTGGCTTCGCCGTGCTGATGGCGAGACTGAAGCCGAGAGGCCAGGGAATTTGTTTAAGGTCACACACGCTAAGTTTGTTTAGCACAGTTTATTTGTTTGCATAGCTGTGGAGTGGCCAGATTTGAACTGATGCATTTTGGCTCCAGAAGCTGCCACCTGAGCTGTTGGACCAGCCACTCTCAAACCATGGTCTTGGGACCCTTCTACTCTCAAAAACTGAGGCACCTGAAGAGCTTTTGTCTCTCTGGGTTATGTTATATTTACCATGTACTTTTAAAGCTAAAAATTACAAAGTTATTAATTCACTTAAAGAATACAATAATAAACTCATGACCTAGTAATGTAAATAAATTTTTTAACAATAACCTTATAAAGCAAAACCCACTCAATGAAGAGTGGCTGTTTGAGATTTTGCACCTCTGTAAAGTGAGGCCTACGGGAGTCATGGGGTTCCCAAGCCTGCTTTTGCAGTGAGTGCTATGCTGTCCAGTCCTGATGGAACAAGAGCAGCAAAGATGGAGAGTGTCACGGTGCCATGAGGAAGTGATGCTGACCACACTTTGACAAGCGCTGGTCTGACTCTGAGACACGCAAAGTTCTCCAGGGGTCTTAGAGTCTAGTAGAAATAGCCTCTCTTCGCATGTCGGGGGGGAGCACAGCTGGGAGTTCAGGGTGGGAGGCAGCCTCTGGGTTATGGGCCCGGAGCACAGCCTGACGCCTTGGATAAGGGCTGCGTGGGTGGTGTAGGTGAGTCCTTGCCCCTGAAGGACCCCGCCTGCACTCAGCACCTGCAGCTGATTCCCCGAGTACCTGCCTGTGAAGGGCCAGCTACAGGGACAGAGCCCTAGATCCAACCCTTAAGAGGTGCTTGTGGGGAGGAGATGAAGGGCACTAGATCTTTGTCGGTTTTGCCTCGGTATCCCGCAGGATACCATGTGTTAGGTGTATTAAATGTGCAGAGTAGCGTGACAGGAAAACTGGAAAGGGTGACAGTGGGAAACCTGAGCAGCACCGACATGTGCAGGCCAGTTTCTTCTGCAGAGCGAGCAGCTGGCGCTCCTGGAGGGATGTGCTCCTCAGGTCCAGGGCCTACAGCAAGCCTTCTCGCTTCTCCCTCACATCTGGGGGTGTTTCTGCTATTATTTGTTTGATAATTTTTTCCATTCAGTTTTTAAAATGTACTCCTTTTGCTTATCTGACTTCATGGACTGATCTAACAGTGTTCTCATTTTTCTGTTTCCTTGTTCTTTTGTTTTACTTTATATTTCTTGTATTTTATCTTCTTACCCTTCTATTTGCTGTCAAAATTTTAATTTCCAAGAGTTATTTTGTGGTCTCTAGATGTTCTCGTTGTTGTTTCATGGGCTTTCTGTGCTGTCTCAGGGACTTAACAGGTGGTTTTGTGCAGGAGGGGCCTGGGCCTGCCACCTGGTTCAGAAGGAAATTTTTCTCCTCCTCTGAAGGCTGCCTCCAGACATGCTGGCCAGTCCAGTGGGCTCCTTCCGGTCCCTCTGCTTCTGAACAGGGCCCAGGGGTGCAGGCTGGGTCAGTGTGTGGGGGTGCCTCTCACCTGCTCTTCTGTTTTCAGTCCTAACTCTGCCTCTGTCTTCAGAGATTCCTGGCACCACCTGTTTTTCCAGTTAGGGTACTGCCATGCAACCTAGGTCATTTTTCAGCTTCTCCTTTGTCCGGTGGGAATTAGGCTCTTCCACAGGATCAGGAGAAAAGCATTCCAAGGACCCATGCATGGGAGATTGTGGAGTGGCATGGTTTATTCATCTGGAAATAGACATAGAAGCTGCCACCTGGGTTACCAGTGTCCCATTTCTGTCCATCCCGTCATGGAAAATGTCCAGTTGTGTCCTCAGCAAGGCCACGACAAAAGCCAGTATCCACAGTTTCTGCTTCATGTTTAAGCTCAGTTCCTTGGAACCCACAGTGGCTGCTAAGTGGTCTTAGTCCCCACCCAGGTGGCTGAGCTTGTTCCCAGCTGCTCTGGTGGCAGAGTCCATGTGGCTGCTAAGGCCACATGGCTGTAGAGAGAGAATGTGCAAGTGCATAGGATGTTCTCACCCAGCATGTTCCAGGTGAGTGAGAAAGAGAGCTCAGTCCTTTTGGAGGCCACACCATCAGCTGTGGGCCTGATAGCTGCTAGACCCACAAATGGGCAAGTGCATCACGGGTGGGGGTGGTGGGGAGGGGGGAAGAGAGAACAGCAAGGATGAGTTTCTTTATTCCCCTGGGATTATATGTGCTTGGGTTTGGGTGGGGGCAAGATCCCTTTTTCAGAAGAACCAATCAACTTCCTGGGCTTCTGTGGGCATTGGATGGGTCCATCCCTTAGCCAGTCCATTGTTCCCCAGGCTGGACTGACAGGCCTCTTTGGTCTAGCACCGCCCCCCCCAAACAATGGAATACTAGAGTGGGGAAGGGAGAATGTTGATCCCCTGGGTGGAACACTGTGCTATAATCTCCTGGGGTGTGAAGCTACAGCTTCCTGGCTAGTAAGCAGGTTTATGCCTCCAGTTTATTAAGCCAAATGTCTACTTCCCTTTGCTCTCTTTCCTTGATCAATGTCTAGTTAAATACTATGGTAACACTCCCATTGCTGCCTTACAGTTGACTTTCTTGGATTTGCTACATCTGTTTTTGAGTCTTTAAAATTATGTTACTGATGTCTCTTCTTTGCCCTCCGGGAACATGAATGTTTTCAGTTTGCCATCTGTGATATTATTGTGATTTATAGTTAAGAAATTTATATTTGGTCTTCATTCTAGGTTTCTGGCACAGAGCTCACAAAACCTTTGGAATCTCTGATGACAAAAGTGTCATGTGAATGAGGTGATTTTGTTCCACCTTTAAGGATGGGGCTGGTCTCCAGGGAAACCAACCCTGAGATTAGAGAGTTGGAAGTTTCAGACCCTTGGGGAAAAGGAGAGGGGCTGGAAATTGAATCTGTTCCCAGTGGCCAGTGATTTAATCAATGGTTCATGTGTAACGAAGCCTCAGTAAACACCCAGAAGCACAGGTTTTAGAGAACTTCCAGGATGGTGTGTGTACACGAGGAGATAAAGGGAGTGGTGGGCTCAGAGAGCAAGGAAGCCCCCAGCCCCTTCCCCATACCCGGGCCCTGCACACCTCTTCCATCAGGCCATTCCTGAATCTTATTCTTTTATAATGAACCAAAAAGTAAATGTTTGCATTCTATGAGCTGCTTCAGCAAATTAATGGAACCCGAGGATGGGGTTGTAGAAACCTGATTTGTAACCAGTCAGCAGCATTGATGACAAGCCTGGTTTTGCCATTATCATCTTAAGGAAATGGAGTCACTCTTGTGGGACTGAGACCTTGACCTGTGGGGTCTGACCCTGTCTCCAGGGAGGCAGTGTCACAACTGAGCTGGGTGTTTGGTGGTAGGGAAAAACCATACCTCAGAATTGGTGGTTAGAGAATGAGCACATCTTTAACCAGTCCTCTCTGACCCATTTTTCATGAAGGCATATCCTTGAGTTTCTTCTTTTTAGCATGCCAAGATAAAGTGTTTGTTACCAGAGAAGATGGGTCCTTCCACCGTGTCACAGGCAATGAATTTTAGGGACATACATGCAGGAGAATTTTAAGTGCTAGTGGCAAGATTTATTAGGGCAAAAACAAAGGAAGACTTAGGATAGAAGAGGCAGGATCACAGCAACAGGAATGAGCCTGGACTGAGCTGCCTAGATTCAGGAAAGTAAGTTACAGAGGCAAAAAGGGGAGTCCTGAAAGCCCACTCCTTCCTTGGTCATAAGTCTTGTGGAGGCCCTTAGAGTTTAGGAGAAAAGAAAGCAAAAGTCTGAACCGAGGAAGGGTGGGCAGGGCACAGATTCCTCTGAGAAGGCTGCCGCGTGGGATGAGGCGCTTCCCTGGCGGGTCCAGCTGCAGAAGTTGGTTGACGTTGTACTCTTCCGAGGTACACCACCCAGTGTCTCATCCACAGCCTGGTGGTTTAGCTCTGTCTTGCCACAGGAGAAATCCAGCTTCTGGGGCCGTAGGCCTGTACCCGTGCCTCCTGGGACCAGGAGGGCTAGGGCCCGGAGCTGTGGTGCCATCCCCCTGGCACCCAAGGCTCCAGTAGTCCAGCTCAGTACAGTCTCTACTCCCAGCTGCTATATGGACTGTGCAGCTACCACAAGGCAAATGGGGCCTTTGTCAGACTTCCCTGTATTTCCTTGGGCTTGGGAGAGAACAGGCTTTCTTTTAAAGTGCCCCATCTCTTCCCTAATTTTTCCCAGGCTCGCGTCCTAATCCTGTTTGATCTTTTCCCCAGATTTCTCCAGGTTTGTCTACCCTTTATGGCCACCATCTTGGCTTCTATTGTGCAGTCCTCAGTAGAAAGATCTGAGGAGGAGGAGAAATATCACTCCTCCTCTGAGAAGAAGCACCATCTATTTCGGAGCTACTACTTCCTACTTACTGTCTGATTCCATTTGTTCCCTTTCTTTGTTAGTAACTAATACCTGCTTGTAACATTTTTATCTAAAATTCTGTTTTAGCTCTCACCGGTGTGGCTCAGTGGGTTGAATGCTGGCCTGCTGATTCAGTTTCCGAGTCAGGGCACATGCCTAGGTTGCTGGCCAGGTTCCCAGTAGGGGGCATGCGAGAGACCATGACACACTGATATTTCTTTCCCTCCCTCCCTCTCTCTAAAAATAAGTAAATAAAATCTAAAAAGAAATAAGATAATATTCCATTTTAAATTTCTATCATTTTTTTTCTTTTTGGAAAATAGTTCTGAGATC